CGGTCTAGTAGGAGGGGCAAGAATTGAAAGCGGGATTTAAGGTAAGCAGGAGCATTGGGATTATTAAGGATGTTATAGAGCAGGGTCAGAATGTACATATTATGTCAAAGGCGGATTGGGAGCCACTTTAAACGAGCGCGAAATTCAGAGACGTGATCGTATTTACGTAAACTGAAAATAAATCTGATGGCTAAATTTTGTAAGCGCTCTAGTTTATTGAGGAGCTCCTCAGTCATGATTTCGAGATGAGAAGAACTCACAAGAAACTCAGCTCGTATTCTTTTCAAATAAATGAAAAAAATACAAGTTTCTTATCAGTAAGAACTGACAAGAAACTTAATAAATAAATGTTGTACATGTTTACAATAATACAGATTCATTTTTAAATTCGAATTTGGGAGATTAGGTTCATTATCTGGATAATGCTATTGCTTTTACACTTTCGTATATCTTCTGATCCGTCTAGATCTGTTAACACAGGTTAGTATGTGTTTCCTGCAAAACAGTCCAAATTTCAAACCACCTACGATTTAGTGTATCAAGGTGAGATATGTTTAGATCTTTTAAACTGCATACATTCTTTAGTATTATAAAAACAATATTCCAAGAATCTTGCCGTCAAACTTAAATTTTTTATTACTGTTTTTTAATTCTACTGTTCAATTTCATTGATAGTTTCAGTTTAGAAGAGTTAGCAAGGGACCTTAATTGAGTATCTTTGATATCTATAGTTATTTACTTTAGGAAGAGTTGAACAAAAAGGACAATTTTTCTGATAGTCTCGCATTCGTCTTTTTTCAATAATCATTTCTCTTTTTAAATCTTTGACTAGTCTTTATAGGTATTTAATTTAGAAACGAGTTAAACAACAAAAAAGAAAAATTTTCTGATAGTCTCGCAGTAATCATTTCTCTTTTTAGGAATAAATGTATTGTCATAAAATAATAAAGGGTTTTATCCAACAGTCTCTTTAAATCAATTTGTAGTAATTATTGCAACGTGGCTGAACCATTTGCTGTCTCAACTTACACACTGTAGGTGTGCTATGCACACATATCATATTACATCGCGTTGAGCAGTCTTGTATACCATGTAATGTAGGAATAACGTAATACATCCGTGATAAAGACTCCTGCGTTTTCATTCCGTGAACTCACTCGTCAACTCGTCATCAATGCAGTATCCGAAGATACTGTATTGATGACAACCTGTACGCATATAAAATAGAAGTAGCCTAAGTTACTCCTTATTATATCAGTTACCTGTCAATAAAAGTCCTGTCAAAATCGGTCCAGCCATTTCAGAGATTAGTCGGAAGGAACGGACAGACAGACAGAAAGACAAAAATTGTAAAAAATGTTATTTTGGCGTATATACCGTATTTATATACATATGCATGTAGTAATAAATGGTTATTTCAATATTACAAACAGAGACTCCAATTTTATTTATATGTATAGATGTAGAACATCGATATATTAAATTTAAGATTTAATTTTCTTTGTATGAGTATTTCGAAATTAAAATTCATTTGTCTACAGATGCATCTACTTAGCTTTACCAACAAATATTATATACAGGCTGTATTCAATGCAGCAGCGTTGAGGTTTATAACTAGTATTATTAGATACCTTGTTTCTGAACGACTTACGTTTTTCTAACTATACTTTGTATTATAGCATATAGGAGAGATCAACGTGCACAAATATACAAACATAGTTTGTGTTACAGCTCTACCAGATATTAGCTTGCACAGACGTACAAACAGATTAGAATTCTAACAATCTTTCTTTAGGTTTCTATTACTTTAACAAAGTATGTCGTCTTTGTGGCAGACTCGGCCCATTGGTTTGGCGAGGCATTGCATCTCTTTGCATTTTTACTGCATGTATTACGGAGAGTGTTCTGAGGAATTGTTCGAATTAATACCAGCTGCTGAGTTTCACCATCACCGTCCTGATCATCTGGAATGGCGGTCCTCCACAGTGCGGTTTTCTAGAAATTTTTGACACGCACAACCACATCGTCGAATCACCTTCCAGGAATTTCCAAACCAATACGAAACAACAATATTGAAACTTTCAGGAAAAGTTAAACCTTTTTAAAAGGCCGACAACGCACTAGCTATTTCTCTGGTGTTGCAGGTGCTTATGGGCGGCGGTAATCACTTACCATCAGGTGAGCCGCAAGATCGTTTATATGCTCTCCCAATAATAGTTTTTCTCATATATCTTCCATGTACAGACAGATAGTAGTTACTATTTATATATGTATTGATAGACTTCACAGATTGGACCTAGTGATCGTTTTAATACAGACTGGCTAAATATTTGTTCTTTGCAAGCGTAAACATTGAGTGTCGGTTAAATTTTTAAATTTATATCTGTTCTGACAGTAAACCTTGTTTGTATATTTATGGCGAATAAGTTTCCTCTCAAAACTAGATCAAGGACTTCAATACGAGTGTTACTAAAAGTAATTTTATTTGATCAAGTTAAAATGTTGCGTAAACTTAACGATTTTGGATTAAGGCTAACAAGTATAGGCCTCTATCAAAACTAAGTAAAACTGGTTTTACTGAATTCCTATTCTGGAAATGTTTTAACCATTATAGCAGTTTTCCTTAGTCCAGATATTAATTCTGAGAAAAACTGCAAGTTGATTAATTAAAAGAAGGAATAAATTAGTTGAGAATGCAATTTAATAGGCGTGGTAATCGAAACTTTAAAAAAAATAAGGCAATAATTAAAATTGAGAAAATCACGGGATTTAAGTTCCCGATATTTCTGCATTGTTGCAACTCCCATGATCACTAACTATGGTCGCTGGTTCGATTCCTCGCACAGTACAAACGTTTGTATTCATGAGTATAGTAATAATAAATAATATTAATAACATTATTGAAGGAAAAATAGATGGAAAGAGAGGAAGGGGAAAACCGAGACACAGCTATATCAAGCAAGTTAAAGAAAAAGTTGGAGTCGTGTCGTATCAAGATTAAAAAGACTGATAGAAGATCGTAGGAGGCGGGAGCTCCACCGACAAGAGCACAGCTCTTAAATTATGAATGAATGAATCAGTTGTCTAGTACCCATAACAACAGGTTTTGCTTAGGAACTAGAAGACTGAATTGTCTTGGTATTATTACTATTTTATACCAAAATTTGATTAAAACTAATTTATTATAAAATCCAACTTCCAGTGCAATAAATGTATGATTACGTACTTAGATTAATTAATTTATTGATATATTTATTACTTATCTGGTCGATGATAACACTGACAAGATTATATTTGTGAGTGACCCATTATATTATGTATTGATAATAAATTATAATATTACACGATAAAGGATAATCTATTAGGAACCAGCTCTTACCTGCGACTTTGTCTGCTTTTTTTTTACGAAATGTGAGCGCCTTTTTTTTAATTGTAATTTATTCTATAATAATAACAATCTGAGGACAATTCACATAGCGCGCCATCTAGACCCAAGTTAGGCTAGCTAAAGCTTGTTTTATGGGTACATTACTGATACAAATACATAGATCATTTTTTTTCGTAAATATATGCATATTAGCTATACATAGAAAACACCCAGACCGATACAAACAATCATACTCGTGAATACAAATGTTTATGCCGTGCCAGGAATTGAACCTAGACAACTAAGGCCGAATTATTAATTTGTAAACAATTTTGGGGACAGTATAAGATATTAATGAAGACATGACCTTTACAAAATGTGCCTATACATATATATATACTAGCTGTTCCCGCGACTTCGTCCGCGTGGAATTTATATAAAATTAGTCTAAAGAACTAAAAATTATTTTGTTCGTCTTAATTTATTCGTTCCATTAGGTACTGATAGGTCCAAACTAATACATTTACATCCTGCATCATCCTTTATTTTATCCCCATGGGGGTTGAATTTATCAAAATCCTATTTAAGCGAACGTCTTCATCATAGTAGCTCCAATCTTTAATTTCAGTTCAATCATTCGAAAATCTAAGAAGATTTATACAAATTTTCATCCCCTATGTTAATGGAATGGAATTGATGTGGTGTGTGATGTGGAATGGATGTGGAATTGATCATATCCTTTCTTAGGGGATGCCTACGTAATAGTAGCTTTATGCATGCTAAGTCTCAGTCTGATCGGTTTAAAATTTACAAAGTTTTATACAGATTTTCATCCCCTATTTTATCCCCTTGGGGTTAGAATTAATCAAAATCCTTTCTTAGCCTGGATTAGGATGCCTATGTCATAACATCTACCTGCATCCCAAATTTCAACCCGATCCGTCCAGTGGTTTGGGCTGTGCGTTGATAGATCACTACGTCAGTCACCTTTGAGTTATATATATTTAGATATAATAAATAATAATAGAATCAATTATTATTCATTATAAAACATAACTACACCAACAGTTGACAATGCTTTTAACACATCCAGGAGAACTGTCTTGAAGTTAATTAAACAATAATTAATTACTAAATTTACCAGTGCTTCACTTCCGGTGGTCGCAAGTTTGATTCTTCTCACGGTAACATTTGTATTCATAAGTATGATTTTATGTTTCGTCTGGTTCTCCATATATAATATGTATGTGTTTACAAAAATATACTTGAGTATTTCTATCAGGTGTCTAGTCCCTATAACACTTGTTCTGCTTAACTTGGGACTAAATGTCGCTTTGTGAATTGTTCAGCGATAAAATTGTTTATTACTGTGTTATTTATAGCTGTGTCCACGATTTCATACGCGTGAATTTTATAGACTGTATGTTATTCTTATGTATAAACTATATTATTGTAAAGTGTCATCAAAATCCGTTCAGTAGTTTCCTCGTGAAAGAGTAACAAATCCATCCGCAATCACGAATTTTCGTGTTTATAATATTAATAAGATTATATTTAGTTAAATTAGTTTTATTGTTATTTTATTGTTGTTTCATTGTTATGTTATAGTTGAATTGTTATTTTATTGTTCCAGAAAGAGATTTCCCTGATGATGAGGACCCTGACGGTCTCGTCCCTGCAATACCTGAAGATATAGCTCACATACCCTACAAGCCTCCTCGTCGATCAAACGAGGAGATATTGGAGAAGTCACGGGAATATTACGAGCTGATGGCCAAGAGAAGGACTGTTAGAGCGTTCAGTCCTGAACCGATACCTGATGAAGTATTGGATAACATTATAAAAACTGCTGGTAAGTTTAAATGTTAAGATATAGACTTAAGATGAGCTCGCTACGCGTGAGAACCAGTTTTGCCAGTTTATGGTATTTTACACGATATTTAAAGTATTTTATTCTTTAATAAGTTTATTTTATTATATACTAACTGAGCCCGCGACTTCGTCCAGGTGTATAGTATATATACCTTGACCTAAAAAGAAAACATATTCAATAAACTAACCCCAAATGGCAAAAAATATTTCATCGTTCTTCTTGTTTAAAACATTACGATCCATACAAACTTTCATCCCCTATTTTATTTTACCCCTTTAAGGGTTGCAACAAACTTGGAATGTCATATTTATTTATATTTAATCAGTAGCCTATAAATAGTCCTATTTCACTACTAACATTCCTCTAACTTGGTTTTTGGCGATTTTTTTTTCTGTGTACAGAAATTCGACCTCTACTATTTTATTATATGTATAGATATATACAGTAGCTAGTCCGCCAGACAGACAAAGTATGTATGTATGTATATACTAATGTAATTAACAAACATCGAATCTGTACTATACAGTGTTTTAACTACTACATACAAAAATAAAAAAAGTACATAAATACGTAATAAATAGATAGATAGATAAAAAATTTATTCAAGTTAAAGGCACACACACATAGACATAAATTTACACTAGCTGTCACGACAAACGTTGTTTTGCCTTAAAATAAAAAAAAAATTAGGGGTGGACTACCCCTAACATTTAGGGGGATGAAAAATAGATGTTGGCCGATTCTCAGACCTACTCAATACGCTCAAAAAATTTCATGAGAACCGGTCAAGCTGTTTCGGAGGAGTATGGGAACGAAAACTGTGACACGAGAATTTTATATATAAGATTAGTCAAAATAAAATACAGTACACAAAAAATGTACAGGTAAAATAAAATGCAGTACAGTTAACAAAAAAAAAAACGGTTTGAGTAGTGTGTGTGCATAGCCCATACGTAAAAAGGCAGCACCTCAGTGTATTGTTTACTGCGTACAAGCAGCAAACCACTGATATTCAGGCACTGCCCAGAGACCTTCGAGAGGACGCATGTAATAAGACCACTTCTAATCAACCCTATTATATTATCATAAATAGTAATAATAAAAAAAAACATAAATAGGTATAACATATAGGCATAAAATATATAGAAAATTATTATCAATTCATATAATAAAATAAAAGAGAAAATAAACTTATTGCATAGGAGTGTTAAGTGTTGCGTGAGTACATAAATTCTTATCTATTATTATACAGTTTAGTACATTACCCTGATATAATATCCATTTTGTTATCAACAATTATTAACAAAATGATTGAGCATATACATTGATAACATATGGTGGCAAAGGGGATTGTTAGTAATGTGGACTGATGATCTTATTGCTAGCAATGTACCATGTCAGGTTGACCTCCATGTGGTCTCCCCGTGGAAATAATCGTGATAAATTTTTGATGAATTTGTCACGATGGGCCAACTGACCTGACCTTATGCTCATCTTATCATCCTGGATTGGTGCCCCGCCAGCGTAAAACGTTAGCGCAGGCGGGTTCATCATTCCATTATCATCCATAAAGCCTATTGTGGCATAGATAATATTCACCTTATTTTTTTAATGGATGATAATGAAATGGATGATATTTCATTATCATCCATTAAAAATAAAGAAATCGATTCTTTTGAAAATCAATGGAGTCAACAATATACACGCGCGCAAAGTCGCAGGTTAAACTAGTACTTAATACCTCGCTATAACTAGATCAGCTACAACGATAACTTCAGCTTGTCGATATCATTAGATATCAACGATAAATAACTAGTTGACATCGACAATTGCGATATCATTATCATTAATAATGAATGGAAATTATTTCAATAAACGTGACTGGTTCTAGCTGATAGTGATAGCTCTTTTATAGTAATCATAGTACTTGAGATTGACGTTTGTATTTATGACAAAATGTGGCAACCAATTAGACTACGACGCTGAGCTTGCAATATTTACAGAAAGACTGCTCAGTGTTGCCTCGTGACTGGTTAGATTCCTCCCAAAACTTGTCCAAAATCCCCTATTTCAGGTATTGAAGAAATGTTCCCAAGAAACAATTATGTACCCTGACTTTTTGGATCGCTTATTCCATGACAGATCTTCAGTTCATAATTCTTATATTAGTTCGAAGTCCTGATGATCTTTTTTAGACGCTACAATCTGTTACTGTATCGCTCACAAATCACTTGAAATATGTGTAGCCTTAAATTCTTCAGTTCTTATTTTATAATTCTTCGTATGCGGTCCTGTTGACCTTTTATTGACACTTTGATCTGTTACTGTATCGCTCACAAATCACTCCAAATATATGTTGCCTCAAAACCCCACTATGAAAATAGAATTTCTACAAATTTCTAGGAAACATCCCTGATTTGCCATCATTGGTGGTACTACTTACTGATATAGGCGAAAGTTATTAGTTTCCGTCAGTTTTGAGACTGGAGTTTCTCTTAATTCTATTTTTATGTAAAATTGAATTGAAGTGATCAAAGACCTCCAATTTATGTTCAACATCAAAATCTGTTATTTTAATTTATTTGCAAATTCTACAGCTGAGTTCCTCGACTACAAACAATACATTTCTATTTATAACAATCTAATGCTACACGTACACAATGGGTTTTATATGTTAATGTGGTTATATGTTGATATATAATTATTAATAAATTTTTATCATCATTGCCCCGTCTGGGTCAATTGCACTAATTATGAACAATTGCTAATTAACTATAGCCATTCTTGTGGCGCGCCATTAAATAAGCGTACTGACAATTGAGGTCGTTTAAAAAGTTTTAATGGAATTATTTATGGAATTTTTTATTAATGGGATTTTTTTCCACAATTCAAAACAAAGTGATATAACTTAATAAAAATAACTTAAAATCTATATTTACAATACTTGAGTAGTTGTTATCCCAAATTAAATAAATTCATCATAAAAATAATTTGCTCAGTCTTTGCGCAGTAAGGACTCTATTTTTGTTAAAATATACGATTGGCTGAGAATATTAATCTTATCACCTTCGCAGGAAGCGAGTCTAACACCACGTCTTGGTTTGTTATCAATTTTGTCAGTACCGGACACTTAGTCATAAATTTAAATTAACACCCAAAGTTTGGTGTCAGTGATTCGAGTCCACGACCTTTGAGATCTATAAATCTTTTATCGCCAGTCTAATAAAGAATGCTTTATTAATTTGCTTATCGTGAAATGTCACGTCGTGTTTTCATCATTAATGACCAAGTTTGTAATTGAAATACAGTAGGTAAGTATAATAAAAACATTCTGATGACCTATACGGACCTTTTGATAAATCTCAACATTTCTCGGTATATTGCAAATAGATAGTGTACTCGTAATTTGCTAAGTTTATATAGAGAGTGATTTTGCATTATAATGTTAATGTTTGATATTGTTTATCTATACAAAGAGAAAAGTAGAGAGAGAATTTTGTTATAAGAAAAGCAAACTCCGAAACTACTGCACTGAAAGTAGAAGAAGAAGAAATAGAGAAATTATTTCATTGTTTAAAATGTACATTAATCCATTGTGATAATAGACTCTACAGTCTGTCAATATATACAAAAGTCACAAAGTCACGAGCATCCAGATGAAGACGAGACAATCCACAGGTTAAAAATATTTTTACAACACTGTGTTTTCGCACAATTTTATGAAGAGATGCAATTTTTGTGGAAATAAATTAGACCTTAACGAAACCTGTTAGTGAGACGATTTTACTTTATCTTAATGTTTGTTAAATATATCAGTAAATAGAATAAGTTTAAATATAGTTTAAATGGAGTAAATTGACACTTGAGACTAATAATATAATAATATGTGTAAAGTTGTAAATAGCAACAGTGATGTTTTTATATTGACTTTGGATTAATACTCTATTTAGTAATCATATTGACGTTATATGCTGAATAACAATAAGGCAAATAATGAGATCAACTCGCAAACAATACGTGTCGTACTAAACTAACAACACTAGTTGGTATTAATAAGCAAAAATATTATCTACAAAACTGCACGTATTGATTTACCAAGTAGGTATTCCTTGGTAAAGTCTTGTTGAAAATTATATATGCAATTCACGATTTCTAACATCTCTCCAGTTATCATTTTCTCTAGGACTCGTCTTATATTCATCATAGTAATTTAATTTTAATCTCTTAGGCCACAATTTATTCACAATTAAGTTCAAGACTTCCTTAATTGCATCTACTTTACTATTTAAATTCCAATATTTATAATAATTGTTTGCTTAATATGAACTAACATGAAATAATCTTGGACCTTCTATTGATATCATGCGTAATTTCACGCTTTTGTTTTTTTCAACATTGATATAGATTCCAAAGATGGCTGTTAAAATGAAATTCTAGTATTGTCTTTTTAATTTTCACCAAAAGTTTCCATTAAATGCTATCCTATAATGTGTTCAATAGAGTCAACGTGTTCTATAACTATTACATTACATTGCACTGGTTTGATGTTAAGATTTATTATGATAACGAGGCTCTAGGACTTAATGATTTCGCACTCATAGCAATTCCTTTTTATATATAGTTCTGCGCAAATTTAAAATCTAAATAAAATCTTCTGTTACATATTGGTCTTCCTCAAGGAACACTATAGGGCCCTTGAAATTTTTAGTGACCTTTAAGTAGTTAAACACATAGTTCATATTCCACCACCAAATGTATCATAACTGAATTAATTTAGCGTCTTGTTTTCTCACAGTTACACACAACCATCCATCTGAACAAAACATTAAATTATTACCAGGGTAAATGTTAGAATGCAACTGTACAAATAAAATATTTGGCATGCATTACCTCAGCAAAGGTTAGGTCATGTCAAAATATTAGCAGAGATCTTGTAATCCCAATCACGGTTTATATTAGGTTCTTAAATTAAATTAAAATATTAAAAGTCCAACTAAGCATATAGCCTCGAAAGTCTTATGAAAGGTTAGAAGAGCTTCAACAGATAGGTAATCTTTTATAAAAAAAACAGTGGAAGGCACCTAATGAAGTAAAAAACCATAGACGTCAATGTTTTTTATCGTGTTACCCATAGAAAAAAATGCAATTCGAACATTCAACTCCGAGTATGATAATCATGTTTTTTTAAATGATACTTCTCGGACACACCATCATTAAAAAAGGATCTACCTGATGATAATTAGTCACTACTGCAGCACTTAACCAACAAGGCTATTACTTGTGACTTCCTGCTTTTTTAGAAGAAAAAATAGTATACGTCTAGCCTTATCATATAAATAAACTAATAATAATAATATCTCAGGACAATTTACACACACACACAGTCCCAGAGTTGTTAAAGGTACTAGAGAACGTTTATATTAGTAAGACTTATAAAAAAAACATTTTTTTTGTAAACGCGAAAGTCTGTGAGTTTGGGAGCATCTTTGTTCAAAAGAATTCAATATTCAAAATCAATTTATTTATGTAGGACATTTTAGCCGCTAATGAACGTCAAGTTTTTACATTAAAAAATTTTTACCCCTACCGTTACTCATGTACAGAAATACTACCAAACAGTGTTTGATGAAACATTACAGTGTATACATAGGTTATAAATTACGTGTAGGTGAAACATAGAAAACACCCAGACCGATACAAATAATCATCATACAACATGAATACAAATGTTTGTACTGTGTGAGAAATTGGACCCGCAACCATCAGAAGCAGGGTGTGCTTAACCGCTAGTCCATCGAGGCCGTTATATGAACTTCATGTGTAATTTATCACCTTTCAAGTATTTAAAAAAAAACCTTTCAAGTATGTAAAAGTATTTTGTCCCATATTATTAACAAAAGTACAAACAGACAGTTTTGCATTTGTAATCTTATATATAAAATTCTCGTGTCACAATGTTAGTTTTTATACTCCTCCCAAACGGCTTGATTGATTTTTATGAAATTTTATATGCATGTTCTGTCTGTCTGTGGGTCTGAGAATCGGCTACTATCTATTTTTCATACCCCTAAGTGGTAAGGGATATCCACCCCTAAATATATATTTTTTATTTTTTCCACATAATATATATTTTATTATTATTTAGAATTGAAAAATACAAACAACCCTAAATTCTAGGAACAACCCCTATTTTTTAATAGCGATTTTAATTTATATGGCAAAACAACATTTGCCGGGACAGCTAGTATTATTATAGATTTCATAATGTCCATAACTGAATATCCTAGTCGTGATCAAAGATCACATCAAGAAGGCTCTCGAATCACAGAATCCAATAATATTGTTCCAAGTTTATATATTCACATTTAAACTTTCAAGGTATTTAAGATGCTTCAAGAGCAGGTCGGGTAAGTATATGTAGATGTTCAAGATTCATATGCGCATGACCTCATGAATATATGATTTTTTTACGTCGCTGGAAAAACTTACTGGCGACATAAAGAATATATACATTAATTAGTAGTAGTAAAGATTGTTGTATTGTTACGACCTTATTTTAATAGATACGAGGCAGAAATGTATTCTTTAAAATACGTTAGTTTAAGAAAAATGCGCAGTTGTTATTGGAGGCTACTATTTAAAAGGAAGATAATATTAGATAAATTCTCTAATTTTCTGACAATTAGCACCACAATCTATGGTTCCAGCGTTATGTTTAGTTTTTATATCTTTGACTACGTTTAGGTTCATCATCATCATCATCGCAGTCCGGAAGACGTCCACTGCCGGACTCGCATATTTTCTCGCATATTTTCTTGAGTTTTATTATATTCTGTTCACTTCCGTGTACTCTGTCTCCTATACTTAATGACTAATTCAATACAAAAATTTAATCTGATCGAAGCAAATTTTGTCAATATGCTCGATAATTTATTAAACATTGATAACATTACAGGTACCTCACCATCTGGTGCTCACACAGAACCATGGACATTCGTAGTAGTCCAAGACCCAGAAGTAAAAGAAGCTATCAGAACTATTGTGGAAGAGGAAGAAGAATTGAACTACACACAAAGAATGTCCAGACAATGGGTAACAGATTTGAAACCGTTCGCAACGAAGCACATAAAGCCATATTTATCTGAAGCACCAGCGTTGCTATTGGTATTTCGTCAGACGCATTCCTGGAGAGAGGATGGAAAGAAAAAAATGCATTATTATAGTGAAGTCAGTATAGCGATTGCAGCTGGTATCCTGTTAACTGCCATTCAGGTATTCCTACATATTTAAATAGTTAATAATATTCCATTGATAATTGTAGTTACTGTATTTTTTGCAGATATCTTTATTGATGTAGGTCTATTACAGATTCTAATGATATGCCAAATATACCGTCAGTTCGGAATGCTTTCGATCTAAGAAGAATTGACAAGAAACTCAGCTCATTCTTTTCATATGTACCTGTACATGTTTACAATAATACAAATCATTTTAAAATTCAGATTAGGGAGAATAGAGCAACCGACAGCATATGCTACAATTGTATATATTTAGTAGCAGTTATCCGCGAAATAGTACGCATGGATTTTTTTTATTATAATATTTTTTTCTAAAATAACAGTACCCTAAGTTACACCTAATGACTAGCTATCTGGGAGTTAAAGTTCCGTCAAAATGGGTCTAGCCGTTTTAGAGATTAGCTAGAACAAATAACAGTCAATTTTTTAGAATTAATTTAAGTACCGTATATACTTTCATATGCATTTAATGAAAAAGCTGCACAAATAGCTTGTAGGAGTGTCGTCAATAGTGTAGCCACTTATTGTATGGTGATGTAAAGACCATCTGCGGCAAACAGCATTAGAATAATTCTAAAAAAGCTACCATTACATAGAAAAAGCGCTCAGTTTTACCACATAAAAGCTGTGTGTGTGCTTGTTACTTTGCACGCGTGAATTGACATAAAAAGTATAAATGTTCAACTGGGACTGGGAGCCAATGCTCTATCTTGGGAATGCAGTTGTGCTATAAGAACAAGTAAGCAGCTGTACTGAAGAGGAATGAATATTTAAGATGACTAGTTGTATAAACCGGTATGTCTTTTGTCCATCGGAATCATACTCCTAGTGATTACTAAATATGTGACACAGACAATCTTAAAGCCAACTTTCATCATTGTACCACATTTAAGGAAACTTAAAAATAAATGTAAAATAAATCCTAAATATACGAGTAGAATCGGAGAAAATGACTCAAGATGTTAGGCGCTCCATGTGCACCTTTATTTTTGTATTTGTTGATAGAAGTATTTTTATGAAGGTTAGGATAAATCATTTAGAAAAAGTCAGTGGGTCTTATTAATACAAAAATTTGACCTTCATAAGCGGCTAAAAGGTCCTACAGAAATAAATTATTTTTGATTTGTTTCATCGCGTCATTACTTTTCTGATAGCACTAAATAAATTTATGTGAGATGGTATTTGAATTTACTAGGTATATGGTCAGACGCCGTACTTCGTGGTTGAAAAACCTGAGGCAGTGGTTTAGGATAAGTAGAAGATCCATTTTCAGGATCGCCGTGGACAAAATAAAGATGGCTATAATGATCGCTAACCTCCGATGGGAGAAGAATGTGTTAAAGCTATGCCATCCAATATATAGGATATACTATCCAGTACAATCATATGTTTGTAATAGTGAGTTCTAAGTTAGAGACACCAAACTTAGTAGGGTCTTACAGACCTTGACCTGAAATATTCAACGTACCATCCACTGCAGCTTTTTCTCTCCTGTTCACTTCTATAGTTTACAATTGCTACACTACTATATTTTATTCTTTTTCACTTTTCAGTATTGTGGACTAGTAGCTCTTACTTCCACCCCGCTGAATTGCAACGCTCGTCTTAGGGATCTTCTCTCAAGACCAGGCAACGAGAGATTAGAACTTCTGCTACCTGTAGGAAGACCACACAAGGATGCCACAGTACCCGATCTACCTAGGAAGCCGCTATCAGAAATTATGATAAAGATCTGATTGATATCACATTTCATACAATAATGGGGAAACGCAACGCAACTCTGGTTGTAATTATTTACCTCTCCATTGGTTTTCTATAAATTGTGCATTTAAAGAACCACGAGAAAATAAGCCACTTGCGGTTGTGCCAATAAAATGTCATATTCTTATGTTAGGTGCCTTAATTATACGCACGATATTCTAAAACTTTCCCGATTTATCTACAATGTGATATGAAGATTTTGGAACTATTATGCATTAGTTCGTGTTTGATCTAGATTAATGTAATCCATGACTGTAATGACAATAAAGACTTTAGTACTTATATTTGTTTTTATTGTAATCTCTAATTCAAAGGCGATTTTTTGTACTTAAACTGAAAGCTTTGTGTAGCTCTGCATTAACTACAATAAATAAGTTTAACATACACAACGGCTTTGGTGGTCTAGTGGTTTAGATACCGCTTTACTTTCGATGGTTGCGGGTTTAATTCCTCGTACAGGACAAAAAAATGTATTCATGAAAACAATGATGTTTCCTGTATTATGCATGTATTTACAAAAAAAGTATTTATATCAGTAGTATAGTTCCATCCTACAAGCTCTAGCCTGCGACTATATGGTGCTGTGTAAATTATCCTGACATTATTATCCATAGAGAGTTATGTGTTCAAAAATCAATAAAAATAGACTAAAAATCTGACTATAATCAATCAACAATAAATGCTAAAAGATTTGAAGAATTACTTCATCAGTAAATAAATTGTATTAAAATAAATGTAATAAATTAGACTATTTAGAGAATATTACTAATAATAGATATATATAAGATAATGCCAGATTAAGTTTAAAAGAAATAAAATTACCATAAACCGAGTACAAATATATTTCAAAATTTAAACAAACCACAAAAATACATTACATTCTCACACTACAGAGTTAAAAGCAACGATAACAAAAAACTGACTGCGCAATGCTATGTTAACATCGGATAACCCTTACCATTGACCAATATTTGAACATGAACCAATATTACTAAATAAATACAATAACATTCAACATGCTCTTAGTGTCATACCCAAGTATTTATCTTGCGAAATCTAAATTTTCAACTATTAAAATTCTAAATACATTTGATTTTATAAATATTAGTAGATTAGTTACTATATGATATGTCAAATCTACTGACGGTAGATTTGACATATCATAAGAGTCTGTAATAGACCTACATGAATAAAGATAATTTGAATGTTGAATTTAGTTTAAAAATAGACAAGAGTGAACTTGATGATATTAATTAAAAGGCAGTTATAGACTTAGAAGAGATTTTCCCTGATCATGATGTAGTTGAACTATTGAGCTATGTTATGGCAAGTCTTTGGTTCTTATATATCACATAGGATTTTGAAAATTATCGATAACTTGCTTTTATGTTGTAACTCTATCAGAGAGGTGAGATATGCAATCACTCACTATTGTGCGCGCTGTCTTTCCCACGCTAAATCGCACGTGTTCCTGATGCGCGTGAAAGAACGTCTCTTGTAAAGGCAGCTATAGACTAAGTGAGATTCTTTGATGATGTTAGTTGAACTATTGGGCTATGTGAAAACCGCCTTTTGTTCTTATCTATGACATGGGATTTTGAACTCTATCTGAGAGGTGAGATGCAATCACTACGCTAGGAAATGGGGAGACTTGGACAATACAAAGACTAGCGACGGTAGCGGCGACGTCTTCTACAACGGCAACTGCGTCTACGACGCCTGCGACTCCGACTGCGGCGACGGCGACAGCGACAGCTACGACGTCGTCGTCGACGGCAACTCCTGCGACGACGTCTGCCACAACGCTGCAATGTAATAATAATATCTCAAGACAAACCACACAGCGCCATCTAGTCGCAAGTTAAGCAGAACTTGTGTTACTTATGAGTTAGATTGTCAACTGTAGCAGGTGTCTGCCGCTGACCTCGGTCGCCGATGTGCAGCACTGTCTCGCAGCCCGCGGTATCGGTGAGTTGGTGAGTAAACAATCTAGTACTCATAAACTACAAGCTCTGCAATATTTTAGTGGGGCAGTGGTTTGATAGTAACTTTTGTAACAAGTTATAAAATTCTTCAATTGTGTGAGACCAAATATTCAGTGCGGAAATCTGACCACCATTGAAATTCCGACGGTTATTGGATTATACCCATATTGTAACACTTGTTTCGCCTCTAACGAGGCAGACAGTCATCAGACATTCAATAGAGATCAGATACTAGCTTTTACGGTCAGGGTAGACTGTTCGGTTCAGGCGCAGTTTAATCGTCGAATAGACCAAGTCCAACCAATATCATCATCGTCATCATCATCGCACCCAGGAAGTCGTCCACTGCTGGACATAGGCCTCCCCCAAAGACCTCCACGACGATCGGTCCTGCGCTGCTCGCAGCCAATGCCTTCCAGCGATCTTGACCAGATCGTCGGTCCACCTTGCTATAGGCCTTCTCACGCTGTGTCTTCCGGTCCGTGGCCGCCACTCGAGGACTTTACTGCCCCAACGGCCATCTGTCCTACGAGCTGTGCCCTGCCCACTTGCCACTTCAGAGTCGCAATTTTTCGGGCTATGTCGGTCACTCTGGATCTTCTGCGGATTTCTGATTCGATCACGCAGAGTAACTCCGAGTATACCCCCTCCATTGCCCTCTGAGCGACTCTGAGTGACTCTGCACTGAATATTTGTGGTCTCACATCGCTAATGATAGCAAAATTTAACAAAATTATATAAAACCATTAAGTTAAATATTAAATATTAATAATAGGTCGATTTCAAACCACATAAAAATTGTTAATGTTAAGTTGTATATTTGTGGAACATAATAAATGTTTATAAAGTTTTATTCTGTTTTTAACCCAAACACGTAAAACGCGGGGTAATGACTATATTTAGAGATTATTTATAATACTAGCAGTACAAGTGACTTTGTCCGCGTGGAATTTAACTTTACTTTTCTAAAATAAAAGTAGCCTAAGTTACTCCTTATTACATCTGCTACCTGGCAAAAAAAGTCCCGTCAAAATCGGTCCAGCCATTTCAGAGATTAGCCGGAACAAACAGACAGACAGACAAAAAAAAAATGATATTTTGGTATATGTACCGTAATTATATTCATATGCATGTAGTATTAACGGTTATTTCAATATTACAAACATACACTCCAATTTTATTTATATGTATTTGAGATAACATAGATAAGATTTAACATAGATATTTGAGAAGCTATTCTGCTTACACTCCGTCGCCGTCGTCTCCTTCGGCGGCTGCATCGGTCTGACGGTTCAGATCGGGTCCTTGAGAAGAACCCGGTACGACCCTGTTCTTTCTCGCCACGTCTGCAACGACAGAATTTCTCAAAACTTCAATACTGACAGACAACAGTTATAAATAAGCAAAAATCTTTCACAAAATCAATTATAACAAATAATTTTTTTACTGTTACTGAAATAAAATGAAACATGCCAGATAACAAAACAATAGATCACACGCATAACATATATTTATACCCGTGGTACATCGATCCCTCGTTGTATTCCAACGGTGACCGAAATTATGACAGTCTGAGCCGAGGTTCGAACCTCGCTTAGGTAGGTAGGGTTCGGACCTCGCTGTCGTGTCCACCAGGCAGGGATACAGGGCCTACAGCCGCTCCAGAAGCCCTTCCGGGGTTTTTTTTTGTGGATGATAATGGTATGCTGCACCCGCCTGCTCTAACGGTTGACGCTGACGGGGCACCAGTGGAGGATGATAAGATGAGCATGAGGTCAGATCAATTAGTCCATCGTGATAAATTCACCAGGAATTTAACACGATGGTTTCCAGGGGGAACCGCGTGGAGGTCGACCTGACGAGGTACATTGCTAGCAATGGGGTTATCAATCCACATTACTAACAATCTCTTTCCCCCCTTGGAGTGCCAATTGCACTAGCCCCCTATTGTTCAGTGAAGCTGTAAAGCGGAGCACCAGTGAAGAGTGACACACAATACCAGGTCAGGTCAGTTGTCCACGATGATTTTTAGTAAGAACCAAGTCAGGTCATCAACCTGACATGATACATTGCCTTTTACTAGCAATATATGGCAAGTATAAGTTTATTTACGGACAACATTATAATTTGTTTTTCATACTGCTTTCTTGATATATGATAGCGTAGCGGCTTTTGTATTGATTGCCGCATGCATCCTCATGTAAAGTGCGAATACTGTAACTACCATATAGTAATTTTTGTAGCTGTGACGTGGTCGAGTGGAATGAGTAGTCATGCTCACTAAAATGTCCAGACATGTGGCTGCGTGGTGGGCCTTGGGCTCCCTAAAATATGGTCGAGCGCAGTGATGGCTGGCTCATCCGTCATACTAAGAACGAGTGCTGCTTGTTGTACTGGTCTGCTCTTATCACTACGACTGATTTTTATATTTATTGTGTTTTTATATTTGAGCCTGAATAAATTAGTGCTGGTTGGTAGTTTGTATTCACACTTTTCGACTTGTAAAATGTGAACTTACAAGGATTGTTTAAAAGAGCAACACACAAGTTTCTTGCTTATTCTTTTTGTGATGAGACAGCTTTCCGAATAAGCGGTAGATTTAAAAAAATGTTGACTATTCAAAAGTGCTTAAATTAAGTTTATTTGAATAAATGATTTTCTATTCTATTCTATTCTATTCTACTAACTATGCCAATTACTAAATATCCCTTACTCTACAGAAATAAATGAGTGACTATTGAGAGACCAAATTTGAATTTTAATGATTGTATATTATTATAAACATGTTCCACTATTATTTGAAAAAATATAAGCTGAGTTTCTTGTCAGTTCTTCTCATCTCGAAATCATTCCGAACTGCCGGTAGATTTGACATATCATAAGAGTCTGTAATAGACCTACATGAATAAAGATATTTTGAATTTGAATTTTGAAAAAAATTGAATTTGAATTGAAGTGTTATAGAAAAAAATCAGACCTTTTTGCCATTTGTTCGTCGTCCATTCTAAGATTGTCACTAGAAACAAATGTGTATGATTAGTAGGTGTAATATGAGAAATAAATTATTCTTTTCATTATATAGAAAGAAAGAAAAATATTTTATTCAGTGCTTTTGAACAATGTAAAAATACAAAAAAAACAGGGGGAAGGGGATTGTTAGAAATGTGGGTTCATGACCCCATTACTAGCAAAGTATCATGCCAGGTTGACCTCCACGCGCCCCCTGGAAACCATCGTGATAAATTCCTGGTGAATTTGTCACGATGGGCTAACTAACCTGACCTCATGTTCATCTTATCATCCTCCACTGGTGCCCCGCCAGCGTAAACCGTTAGCGCACGCGGGTTGACCATTCCATTATCATCCATAAAAAAAAAACGTAAAAATGATCAAATAAAATGTACATATAATTCAACTTAATTAAACATGTAGATAATTAAAGATAAACATAATATTATCATTTTTACATCCATATAGGCACTGAAATGGCGCTGCTCAGCTTTAATGTATGTCCTATGTGAACATACAGCTGGTTTTCAGTGGCACTAACAAGGTATTTTTACTACTTACTCTTTCCTTTCATTATAAATTATTTAATTTTTTGTATTACGAAAGTTATTTATATCTAAATAACTTTCGTAATACAAATATTTAATGTATATTTACTTGCTGACATGCTAATCGTTGCGTTATTATATAACTTAATAATAATGCCTTTATTCAGATATTAATCATTTACATTTTACATTTCCTAACATTTATCTAAATATATAAACTCAAAGGTGACTGATATAGTGATCTATCAACGCACAGCCCAAACCACTGGACGGATCGGGCTGAAATTTGGCATGCAGATGTTATGACGTAGGCATCCGCTAAGAAAGGATTTTGATAAATTCCATCCCTAAAGGAATAAAATAGGTGATAAAAGTTTGTATGAAAGTACTGTAAAGCCGCAACAAATATACCTAATAATAATACTTCTTAATGCGAGCGAAGCCGCGGGCAAAAGCTAGTTTATATTTTATATAACGTTGTTTTTTTTTAATTTTTTCTTATAGTTTTACTCCCATCATACTTCTTTCCATGTTATTCTGGCAAATCTGTAGTTTTCTTGAATGGGATTTAGTAAGGGCCCAGATTTGACAACTATAAGTAAGAACAGGTAAGACACATGTATCGAAAAGCTTACGTTTTATATTCATTTTAGTTTCTTTATTTTTAATTAGTTCTCAAAATAGTTTCCATGCTTTTCCTATGCGTATATCAATCTCTTAAATATAAATTCAAATCGCTATTAAAAATATCAACTCCTATTTTTTAATAATAATATTCATTTATAGTAGAAGTGTGACAATTTAGGATTGTTTAGAATTGTATATAAAAATAAAACGTCTTATTCTCAGACCTACTGAATATGAACACAGAATTTCATAAGAAGCGATCAAGTCGTTGCGGAGGAGTATGGTAACTAACATTGTGACACGAGAATTTCATATATCAGATGACATATGCAGTGTTATATGAAGCAATAAGATGATGTATGAAATTATATGCAGTGTACTGACAATACTGATTAAACTCGTCATTTACGCGCAATTAATAGAACCGGTAACATCAATTGTCATGTCCTGTACCAGCATATACGAGGTAAAATGTAACCTAAGATCTAAAGTACAACTAACACTAACGAGTTATCTATAGTTTTCTCTTTCTGTTCATTATCTATCTTCTTTCTTGAGGCCAATGGCCTTTGATAAAAATGTTCAGAACGTCGCCGCGCGGCCACCGCTCGACTGCGCCTGTGAATTTGGAATAGCAATTATTCGTCAGCGTAGAAATAGGCGAGATTATTTGTATAGGAGAAGTATAAATGTACTAGCATCGATCAGGGGATTGTCCATTAATCACGTGAGGCTTGAAAGAGGGGGAGGGGTTTGACGAAAATCACGAAAATATTACAAAGGGAGGGAGAGTGTAGTAATATATCACGTGTATTTATTTTTATGGGCATCAAAAACAACCTGCAACCTAGTTTAGATATTTTCATCATGGTTCTTAATTTCAGAATAAAAAAAGATTATAGGTTATACCTGTATCTAAAGATCTAAAAATTTTAAGATTCTTTATAGGCACTAAAAGCACACGTGATGTTGGTGAGGGTTTGTCTTAAACCTCACTACGTCTCACCAAAAAAAAAATGCTAAAAAATCACGTGATTAATAGACGGCCTCGAGGTCATGTTGTACTATTAAATTACTATAGTTTGATTGTTAGAAATAGCAGGCATATCCACAACTTTTTTCCACAAGCAGAAGGCCTGCTTGTGGGAAAAGCTTGTGCTTTGCTTGTCCGATAATGGTTTCTTTTAGACAAATTATTAATAAATAAATTAGGAATATGTAACTTCTGAAACGTTCTCATTCTTTTGTATAACATAATTTTAAATTTTCATTATCAATTATTGGACATTTTCATTAACAAACAAACAAAGCACTTATAACTATGAGGGTTTTGTACATATTAACATAATATATGCGGCTAAACATACATATATAGCTGGGGAATGGGGATTGTTAGTAATGTGGACCAATGACCCCATTGCTAACAATGCGCCATGTCAGGTTGACCTGAATGCGGCTTTATTACGTGGGCTGACTGATCTGACCTCATGCTGATCTTATCATCCTTGGTGCCCCACCAGCGTAAACCATTCGCACAGGCAGATGCACCATTCAATTATCATCCATTAAACATATATATGTTATATCACTTTAAAATAATACCCCATTCAAATAGTAAATTTCTTAAATCTAAATAGATTTCAGATTTTATTTCCTACTACTTTCGTGAAGAGTTCGACTCTCATTCTGTTTCTTTCTATCTCTTTTTAACAACAGTATATACATCAGAGTTTCATACTTGCGCTGTAAATCGACGTACGCGTGCAGTCGAGCGGAGTACCGCGGCGCCTCGGTGCCGCTGCGCTTGCGCATGAAGACCACCAGGTCATCGTTCAGCTTCTTCTTGTCCTCGTCCCCCTCCATGCCGCTGCTGAAACCCATTACCTTCAGCACAGGTACAATAATTGAATAATCAACCTCTCATTGTACACTGATAAATAGGGAGGGACGGCGATTGTTAGTAGTGTGGATTAATAAGTCAATTGTTAGCAATGTATGGTACAACAGATTGACCTCCACGCGGTCCCCCCTGAAAACCATAATGATAAATTCCTGTATATAATATTTCACGACAATCGGGCTATTGAAACTTTATTACATCGAAGAATAGCTAGGTGTGACATTTTGATATCTCATGATGTATCTCTAAAGTCAGTATTATTTTAATATATAATAATAATAATAATCTCAGGACAATTCATACAGCGCCATCTGGACCCAAGTTAAGCTAGCTAAAGCTTGTGTTATGGGTACTAGATAACTGATACATAGATATTTTTTTTCGTAAACACATACATATTGTACATAGAAAACACACAGACCGATACAAACAATCATACTCATGAATACAAATGTTTGTGCCATGCGAGGAATCGAACCCGCGACCATCGGACGTAAATCGGTGCGCTAGACCGCTAGACCACCGAGGTCGTCAATTTTAGAATATTTTTTGAGTATCCTGGTCTATGGTCTAAAACTTCCGTTTAACCCATTATGGCGTAAATGATCAGAATTTGGCATTTAAGTTGTACAATAAGTACGGTGAGTAAAATCTGTCCATCCTCTTTTCCAGGGTGCGCTTCTCGACAACGCTTTATAATGTTTTTTGTAAATAATCTTTCAAGTAAAATGGTTTTTTTCAAATTGATTTGAAAAAAATTTGCAGGTAGTCTGTAAGAAATTGCTTATAGCGATAAGACCCGACTTTGGATATTAATTTTCTATTTACAGTTTTTGCTATTGTAGAATAGAATAGAATAGAAAATCATTTATTCAAATAAACTTACATTGAAGCACTTTTGAATAGTCATAACATTTTTTTTTTAATCTACCGCTCATTCGGAATGCTGTCTTATCACAAGAAGAACAAGCAAGAAACTTGTGTGTTGCTCTTTTAAATAATTTATTCTTACTTACAATTTAAGTTTAAGTGTGTGAATACAAACCACCGATTAGCACTAATCAATGAAATAATAAAATAGAAAAAACATTCAATATACAACAACTGGTTAAACAATTAATAAGAGAAAATAAGTCATAGTGATTGTATTACTTTTATACACAATAAAGAACTTATTATTATATACATATATCACTATGATAATAATTCTAAATCATTTCATACCATTTGGCTGTCCAACCAATAATTTTGTTACATAAAAAAAATCACACACATTTCAAACACCAACACTGTGAGACATGACAGCACTTCCTTTGTTTTATATGTTTTATAATATTTTTCTGTATTTGAACATATAATATTATGACGTTTAATATGTTGCAATGTATATTAAATCCAAAAAGTTTCTTTACAAGTCACACAAGAGTTTATTCATCGTCTGGTTCTTCCTTATCCCATTTATTTGGGGTCGGCGTAATATGTTGAGGGTTACTATATCTAGTATGTATTCATTATAAATATAGTACTTTTAGTATAAAAATAATGTAGCAAATAGGTTATATATTTCACAATGATTGTCTGTAGAATACAAATGTTGTTTACGTTTAGTTCCGAAATGAATACTAGATGGCGCTGTTAGATTTCTAAAACTCGATATTATTTCGTTTTTGTCGATTGATATACACGATTGTAAAATTTTATTATTCAGTATTTTTTGATATCATTATACTCTACGTTTTTGTGATGTCTGAATATCGCGGCGCGGACGCCTTGATGTAATATACTCAACTATTCATTATTCTCATGTATGTGAGCTATATTATTGGAAAGTTTCATTAAAATCCATTCAGTAATTTTTGCGTGCGTAATTTTAGCGGCCTCAGTGGTCTAGCGGTTTAAGCACACTACTTTATTTCAGAAGGTCGCGGGTTCGATTCCTCACACGGTGCAAACATTTCTATTTATGGATATGCTTGTTTGTATCGGACTGGGTGTTTTCTATGTAGATTAAGTAGGTATTTAAAAAAAAATGTATTTCTATAAGCTGTCAAGCAGCCAAAAACAAGCTGTGCTTAGCTTGGGACTATATAGTAGTGTTTGATTTGCCCTGAATTACTATTATTGTATACATAAACAGCACGTGTTACAGGTATATGACCTTATCATGGAATATATTTCAGAGGACTAAGATCTCTAGGGTCTTACCCTATAATTTCACTGCCTAATCACAACTGTTTTTTTTTGTTTTAAATTGTGAGGGAAGTTACCTCCGAATCGTTAACAGAGTAACTATAGTGGTGTTCAAGTAAATAACGTAGAATAAGATAAACAAAATATATTTCTAATCAAAATAAAATAATATAAAAACACATTTAATACAATATACAGATAAGTTATAGATACATCAATACGACGACAGACAAGATGACAAAAACACACTGTCTTTTCAAATATTCAAACATACTTCATCTGCCATACCAGCCAGTCTAGACATCGATTTCGTTCTAACAAAAATAATGTTAAAATAAGATTTCATATAATTGTATATGCAGTGTAGGAATTCATAATGTAACAATACAACACAATGTAATGAAAACTGTGAAATTAGTAGTAGTGTAAGATTTATATAATTGTATATGCATATTGGTAAATCTAATCCTCCTAATAAAGATGGGTGACACTGCATGTTGTCAACTCACCCGGCCGGCCAGCGGTGGTTCTGGACCAGACGGATAAGGTCTGCCTCGGTGTCACTGTTAGGCAAATTGTAACATCTCGGCTGGAGTTGTACAAAAGTGGAAATTAAATAAATATAATAATATTAAAGTAAATTAAAAAAGGCACGGACGAATATGTCTGTGGAAGATTGTATTTAAAAATAAAAAAAATAATCACAACTCATAACCGAGGGGATGGAAAAGGGGAAAGGAGATTGTTAGTGATGTGGACTGATGATCTTATTACTAATAATGGACCATGTCAGGTTGACCTCATCCTGGAAATTATCGTGATAAATTCTCGTAGGGCTAACTGGCCTGAGCTCATGCTCATCTTATCAACCACTGGTGTCCCGCCAGCGTTAACAATTATCGCAGGCATGTGCACCATTCCATTATCCTCCATAAAAGAAACCCACAATCGCAACACAATTTACGAAACAAGTTGCTTGCGGCTGAAATAGTATAGTATGTAAACGCACTAAACCAATCTCCAAAAGAAACCCCAAACATTTATTCCCTTTTTAAATAAATGGGTTAATGGGGTTCCAGCCGTGAAACCATGTCTGAAAGTATTTACCCATACAAATATATATCTGCATTCAAATCAGCCTTATTCCAAATAATTAGAGTTGTATTTCCATTGTGTGGAAATATAAAATGCCGAAGTTAAAAATACGTGTTCGGATCGCATCGGTTGCTTCCGTTGCCGATAGAGATTCAGTGGTCCACCGCCCGCCCGAGTAACGTGCGCGCGCGCATATTTGGGCGGCAAGAATATTTCTACAAAAAAAAAAAACTTTAACTTGTTATACATATACATATATTTACATAAATCATATTATTAAATGTGTTATCGAAACGTGTATACATGATGATGATAGAAAAAAATGATAGCTTTAATTTTATTAGAAAGTACAAACTGAGTTTGTGAATGTGAAAGTTATATATATACATTTATGTGTTGTGTACGTGTTGTTTTATGTTACGTAAATACATATAGTGAATGATTGCATTTTTTATACTAGTTTAATTATACACACCCTATATAATAGATATAAATATATTTATTATATGAAATAGTTAAATATAATAACAGAATGCATTCCGCTATCCCGTACCGTCGATCCGTCGGTTATAATGCACGTGCGTTTATTTTCACACATAAATAGATTACGCCCAGCTGCACCATGACGTCATCAAAAGAAAGTGGTGACGTCATTGAAGTCCAAACCGACGATAAGCAGAACCGGAAAGATGTGCCGAAAGATTTGTCTGAACTCCCACCGAGTGGCACATCCCTGCATAAGAGAAGAAGGGGTGAACCGCCAGCTACTCTATCTGTGAAACCTTCAACCGCTTCAGATGGGGAGGTTTCATCCCCATGCACCGCTGGTCTGTCGTATGATTACCGAGGATTTCCTGATGGTGAACCTCCGGATCCTGAAGCATTATGTGAAGGGATGCTCCAAAGATTAAAGGATCATGACGATCCAGCGTCAATAAGGGCTAAAGAACTTGCTTCTCAGACCAAAGACACTCTTGAAGCTGTAGATCAATTGGAGAAGTTACTAGAACTGCTAAACCAGTTTGTTACCTTAAAAGAACATAACTCTCGTCTACTCAAAAGACTACGAGACGTGAACTATTTAAAGAACCTCCACAATGCTCATAAGAGAATAGACCTAGAGAATGAGAGATTGAGAGTAGAAGGAAGGGAGTTGGATCTAATAAATGAGGCGTTAGATTCAGAGATGGAGTGTGAGTACGGTCAGGCAATATTTGACTCGCTAATGGCAAGTGGCAGGAGCATGAAGAGAACAGGGTCGAAGTGGAAAGGTCACTCGAGGTTTGGGAGCACGCTGCTGAGGAAACAGCGGTCGAGGTCGACCGGTGGTGAGGACAGCGACGTGCCCCCAGGAACCCCGTTGAGAAGACGTTCAGATGGATTATTTTCTAAGGAGGTGGAGAAATCGAAAGTTTCTAAGTGGACAAAAGTGAAAGCTGCATTTAGGTTAGTAATTAAAACAATTTCTAAACGTTTGTTCCTAATTGTTTCTAATTCTAGTCTTAATTGTTTTCTTAGTCCTGTTAGTCCTAATTGTTTCTATTTTCTCTTTCTAATTTTTCTTAGTTCTGTTAGTCCTAATTGTTTCTAATTTCTCCTAATTAAAATCGGTCAATATATTTTGACACAAAATAAAACCTTTGTGTGTCAAAAGACCGACCGACTTTCCCATGAAGGAAGCATCGATATCAAACTAAGAACTAATGCAAGAGACGGCAATCCGTTCACCCCTTTTCTTTACGGTGAGAATTGTTTAAGACAGAGTCCCACAGTATTCGTACGCACCCCGAATGGATGCTGTGAGAGTTTTAACCACCAAAACCCGGTGTTTCCACCTTCTAACCGTGTATAATAGTTGTCGTTCGGCGCGTTTCAGCAATCGTCCGCATGCTGGTCTCCACTGAAGGACTCTCAAATATGACCTCGTAGGAGCACCCGCTCACTTGGAGCTTCGGATGCCCCTACATCCTCCGCTCTGAGTATCCTAGGCTCGCGGCCTGCCACGTTGTATTCAAATATATCGAGTGAAATGTGGACATATGTCATGTACCACATCGACAGTTAACTATGCCTCTGACCCGATCTGGGATAAGGCGTCACCTCCTCGCGGACGATGTCACGGCTAACAATTAGTTAATACAAAACTGGATTAATTAACAACAATCTTAGTTAGTTTAAAAGTTTTAATTAGTCAGTATTGACCACTATAGGTGGTCCACAATTAGTATGTTGCTACAGTATATATATATATGTTAAAGAATAAGGAATTTTACAATTTAAAGGATTTTTTTGACAATATATAATTATCGACTTGAGATATCCTACTTTACTATTATTATTATCTCTCTCTAACTACATTAATCATTACATAGTATAAAACAAAGTCGCTGTCGCTGTCTGTCCGTCCCTATGTATGCTTAAATCTTTAAAACTACGCAACGGATTTTGAAGCGCTTTTTTTAATAGATAGAGTGATTCAAGAGGAAGGTTTATATGCATAATGCATGTACATCCGTGCGCAGCCAGGGCGAGTAGCTAGTTATATATAATTTTTAAACAATTATATTTTGCATGCCATTGCTATGGCAATACACATGATACTATGCTTTGATTATCGTCTTTTCTACTGTATTTTTGAGCAAATAAATTACTATTATTATTATAATCTATACATATAAATAAAATTGGAGTGTCTGTTTGTAATATTGAAATAAACGTTTTTTACTACATGCATATGAATATAAATACGGTACATACAAGAAAAAATCACTTTTTACAATTTTTGTCTGTCTGTCTGTCGGCCTTTTTGTTCCGGCTAATCTCTGAAATGGCTGGATCGATTTTGACGGGACTTTTATTGGCAGGTAGCTGATGTAATAAGGAGTAACTTAGGCTACTTTTAGTTTAGAAAAATAAAGTTAAATTCCACGCGGACGAAGTAGCTAGTCATAAATATATGTAGTAGGTGTGTAATAATAATAATAATGTCTAAAGTCAATTCACACGGCGCCAACTAGTTCCCAGTTAAGTAGAACTTGTATTATGTGTACAAGACGTAATATATATTTACTAGCTGCGCCCGCGACCTCGTCCGCGTAAAATGACAATACTTCCATAGGACCTTTCATATTCCCTTTCAACCCCTTGCAACCCTTTTTTCACATTAAACAGTAGCCTATGTCCTTTGTCAGGGTCTAGACTATCTTTGTACCAAATTTCATTTAAATCGGTTCAGTGATTTAGGCGTGAAAGCGAGACAGACAGACAGACAGAGTTACTTTCGCATGTATAATATTAAGTAAGGATATTATTGTAAAATCTATTCAGTAGTTTGTGTATGAAAGACTAACAAACATCGATCCATCCACACTCACAAATATCCGCGTTATAATATTAGTAAGATATATATAACTATAGAACTATAGGACCGACGATCTGGTCAAGATCGCGGGAAGGCATTGGATGCGAGCAGCGCAGGACCGATCGTCGTGGAGATCTTTGGGGGAGGCCTATGTCCAGCAGTGGACGTCTTCCGGGCTGCGATGATGATGATGATGATATAGAACTTCCTGATCGACATAAATAGTCACAAACGAATGTTTGCACCGTTCGAGTAATCGACAGTCGAACCTGCGACTATCAGAAGTAAGTTAACATTACCGAGAATGAATTTGAACAAAGTCGTCTTGAGTATCACCTAAATGTAAGATTAGCTCTGCCCACGGTTCCCCCACGTTAAATTTCAATCTATGCTAATTTGACAAAGCTAAAAAGTTTGTTTCTTTGAACCCGCCAGAAACTGATATACCATTCTGATCATCTGGATGAATGGCGGTCTTCCACAGTACGGTTTTCTAGAAACTTTTTGCCTCGCACAACCACATTGTGGAATCACCTTCCAGCAATGGTATTTCCGAACCGATACGATATTGAAACCTTCAAGAAAAGAGCTTATTCCTTTTTAAAAGGCCGACAACGTACTTGCAATTCCCCTGGTGTTGGGTGCTCATGGGCGGCGGTAATCACTTACCATCAGGTGAACCGCATGCTCGTTTGCCCCCTGTGTTATAAAAAAAAAATCTCAGAAACTACTGGTTCTAATTGAGAAATTATTTTTGTGTTGGATAGTCCATTTGTCGAGGACGGCTATATAACATTACGATACGACCAATAGAATCGCTTCTATCATCTATCTATCGCATCAGTGAAAAATGTTGCAAATTATTTATGTTTGAGGGCTTCCGTTGCGTGCACTGCTAAACGGTTCGAGTTAAAAAATATGTATGAAGGTTTTTGAATACCACGCGACGTCATGCGCGCAGCTAGTGTAAAATATAGTCTATATTACTGTAGAGTTTCATCAAAATCCGTTCAATAGCATTTGCTTGAAAGAGTAACAAACATCTATATAGCGAACTCCTTGGTAGGTTTTTATACCATTTTTAAATTTTATAATAATATTCTTTGACCTATTCCTTTTTTTACTATATATCGCTGTCATACTAGTCGCATTTTATTTAATCTCCGTATTTTCCTCATTAAAACCCTCAGCACCTCTCACTCATCAGACACATTTGATACCTCCGCTTCAATCTATACTTACAATCTTTTGCGTTTATAATATTATTAAGATATGTTAGAATATAAGAGGAGTGTGTGCACGCAATAAAATTACGATGTAGGTATTTTTCAGTATTCGTTGTATTTCTATTCATAAACCTTCAGTCTCCCCTCATCTAAACGCGATAGCAATACTTTCAATAGAAATTTTGACGCTTTTATTTACTTCTTACACTCTACTTAGATATGTAGCAAGCTAATTCAAATCTGTCATATATTCTATGTAAAAAGGCTTATTATAAAATTGAAGAATTTATAAATGATAATAATGTTTTTGTAGAAAATATCTAACTTAAAATTCATAGCGCTGACAATGTTATCTGATTGAACAGAGATTAAGTGCGTAGCGGTTTCTATGTTAACTGTCGCATGCCTACTCTATGTTAATGTAAATATAATTAAATCAATATTTATTTAAAAGAGCAACACACAAGTTTCTTGCTTATTCTTCTTGTGATGAATCTGCATTCCGAATGAGCGGTAGAATAAAAAAACTTGACTATTCAAAAGTGCTTATATTAAGTTTATTTGAATAAAGATTATTTCTATTTCTATTTATAAGTAGAGTTATTAAAGTAAATATAAAGGTAGTTTTATCGTTATTTTGAGAATTCATTGTAATTTCAATATTTTGTATATTTCTTCCAATTTTATACTGTTTTGGATTTTTCATCGGTCGTTGTTTTTGTATATATATACTATGTAATGATTCTGACAGTGTAAAACGTTGATATTAATGGCGTTATGGACAAAATTTCATAGAGTTTAATTATATATTGTAGAAAATTTTCATAGTAGCACGTTTTGTATGGATAGAGATCAGGGACATGCAGCCTTATGATGACGGCCATAAATTACAGTTACACAAAATTTTGATGTCAAACATTCCTTCACTAATAGAAACTCACTCTCAAATATTCACGACATATGTAATACATATAGGCAATATTACTCACGTAAATTCTAACGAAAACTGAAGATAAAAGGTAGGCGTGGGCGAAGTCGCGGAAAAAGCTAGTTATAAATATACATCCGATATATACTTCTACTAGCTGTGCCCGCGGTTTCATCTGCATGTAATTTATAATCTATGTCTTATTTGATGTGTAAGCTATATTACTGTAAAGTATTATTAAAATCAGTTCAGTAGTGTTTGCGTGAAAGAGTTACAAACATCCATCTAAGTATGTATCCATACTCACAAACTTTCGCATTTATAATATTAATTTATATTATTATAAACATGTTCCACTAATATTTGAAAAAAAAATACGAGCTGAGTTTGTCAGTTCTTCTCACCTCGAAATCTTTCCGAACTGACGGTAGATTTGACATATCATAAGAGTCTGTAATAGACCTACATAAATAAAGATATTTTGAATTTGAATTGAATAAGATAAGTTCTAATTTGAATAGCAAACAAATTGACTGCCCACCTGAGGATAAGTGGTAACTGTCTTTAAGTGATGATAATGGAATGGTGGACCCGCCTGCGCTAACGGTATAACGCTGGCGGGGCATCAGTGGAGGATGATAAGATGAGCATGAGGTCAGGTCAGTCAGAATTTATCATGATGGTTTCAAGGAGGAACCGCGTGGGGTTTACCCTGACACGGTATTTCACTTCAGGTATAACCACACCTAATAAAATTAGTAAAAACAATGAATCCACATCACTAATAATCCCCTTTCCTGATAGTGTGAGTGATAGCTGTCGTCTATATACATGGTATCACATTATCACGAAATTCCTATGATATCAGTCAACGTTGCATTTCCGGAGGACACTACATCTACTTCTTATCTTGCATTTCACTGCCCGATCTCTATCAACAGCCGAAACACAGGCTACAAGGCAAGCTGCTAAACTGCAAACAAAAAAGCTGCAAGAAATAGGCCAATTACAGAGATTTAGTTATCTCCAGCATTCCACTCCATTTTAATATCTCATAAATATTTGACAACCGATTGGCGCGAAAATGAGAACACAACGAACATTCATAAAAGAATGTCAGATTCCAAATTCAAATGTAATATTTGGTTTATTTTTTTAATTATAACAGTATGTATGGACAGAGTTTGTATACCTACTATGTCTTCATCATCATCATCTGCTTCTTCCTTATCCCATTTATTTGTGGTCGTCGTAATATGTTTTTCTCTTCCATTCATCTCTGTTCGCAGTCATCGCGTTATTTACTCCCTTTCTTACCATATCATCTTTCACACAGTCCATCCATCTCTTTTTCCGCCTTCCTCTGCCCTTTTAACCATCCATAGTCTTAAAATACTTTCCTTAAAATATTATCTTTATTACTTATTTATTTATAAAATTACATGCTCTTAGTGAGTATTACAGTACAATACCAATGCACTCACCAAGGAATAAACGTATGCAATACATACATTATTAGGTAGGGAAAAAAAAATTAGAATGTAAAAATTTGACGTTCATAAGCGGCTAAAATGTCCTACATGAATAAATGATTTTTGAATTTGAACATTAATAATAATAACAATGGTAACTATAAGGTCAAAAAAAAACAAAATAAAAAAAGAAAAACAGCAACTATACAAATTGCAATAATATTAATAATCTAGAAATATACTAATATATATACAGTGACTCCACAAAATTTGTTACCGCTCTGTGAAACTCTGTGGCAGTACAATTAAATATGTCAAGTGGAAAAATAGTAGATAACTCATTAAGTAGACGGAGTGCTCTTGGGAGTACACGATCAGCATTTAAGGTTTTACACAGGGGCAGGGCAAATAATTATTATACACCCATTCCATGATAGACGATTACTCTTCAACCTCTCCAACATCAGCGCCACTTTCATACTTCCTCTAATGTACTCATTTTTCATCTTATGGATTGTCACTTCACACATCCATCTCAACATTTGCATTTCAGTTGCAGGCAGTCGCCTTTCACTCGTCGCCTTTCCGGGCTAGCACTCTGCTCCATACAAGACAGCTGGCCGGATCATGTTCTTCTACCTTCAAATTATATAGGAGTACTAGCTGTACCGGCAAACGTTGTTTTGCCTTAAAATAAAAAAAAAATGTAGGGGTGGTCCTACCCCTAACATTTAGGGGGATGAAAAATAGATGTTGGCCGATTCTCAGACCTACTTAATACGCTCACAAAATTTCATGAGAATCGGTCAAGCCGTTTCGGAGGAGTATGGGAACGAAAACTGTGACACGAGAATTTTATATATAAGATATATTTATTAGTTTGTTTCTTGTAACAGGTGGGAGAAAGCACAATGGCCAACTTCTGCCATGGGAGGCGCAGCAGGTGCTGTGGCTGCCGGTGCTATGATCGGGGTAGTAGCTTTAGCTGGATCCACTCCATCATCAGCTACGCTCCCCAACCCTGATACCCGGGACTCCGCCAGCCTTACCCCTGGCAGCGCCTTATCTCTTACACCTAATTCTTCATGTGAAGAGTTGAGGATGGACTCAGGTAATTGTTTTTTTTAATTTCAGAACAAATCTCTTCGAGGAAAGAGGATTGTTAGTAATATGGACTCAAGTCCTTATTGTCCCTAGTTTCTTGTTAGTTCTACTTGTAATGAGACAGTTTTCCGAATGAGGGTAGTAAAAAAATAATATGACCATTTCTATAAATGATAATGGTATGGTGGTGCACCCACCTGCGCCAAAGGTTTACTTTAGCGGGGCCCCAGTGGAGGATGATAAGATGAGGTCATGTCAGTTAGATGAATTTATCACGATGGTTTCCAGAGGGAACCACATGGAACCTAACATGGTAATTTGCATAGCAATGGGGTTATCAGTCCACATTAGTAACAATCGTCTTTCCCCACTCACTATTCAAAAGTGCTTAAATTAACTGAAGTTAAATAAAAGATTTTCTATTCTATTACTAGCGTACCATGTCAGGTTGGCCTCTACGTGGTTCTCTCTGGATATTATATTGAAAATGTCCTGGAAAATTTGTCCACGATGGCCAAACTGCTCTGACATCATGCTTATCCTATCATTCTTAAACGGTGCCTCGCCAGCGTATACCGTTAGCGCATCATTAGATAATAAAAAAAAAGTAATAAGTCTGTTAGTCACCACGCGGACCACTTTCTTGTGGGCCGTAAATGTTTTATAAATAATACTGTAATTGTTATCAATATCTTCACGACTACTAATATTCTTGAGATGACCACATTTCGCATTTATGGGATCTATCATAACAGCAGTTGAGCCTACCACGTGGCGTTCTCTTCTCTTCTTAGATTAATTTGGTTATTTACCGGTGTTTACATCACCGAATAGTTAGTTACAATTTATAATTTCGTGTATGAAATCATGACTTTTTGGTTCAAATTCGAGTAGTAAAGAATTAAACTTTAAACCATAACACTGATCATCATGTTTGTTAACAGGGATGTCTCGCAAGAGTGGAATATTGAGATGTGACGAGAATGATAACACATTCTTGCATGCACCTGTGCAGGTAACATTTCTTCTTAACTTATTAACGTTATATTTTCACCAAGGAATAAATGTATGCAATAAATACATTAATAATGATAGTCATAATAACAATAAGGTAAAAAAAAAAACTAAGAAATAAAAAGAAAACAAAAACAGCAATGATATATATTATCTTAGGGTTACAGTCACTGGCACAAATACCCTGAACTTCATTTTTCAGCACAGTTACAACTGAACGACTTATGGAGCTACTGAAGGCTAACTCCCGACTGACAGAGACGATTTTAGTCTGAGAGCACCGCTACGGGTTCGAACCTCAGCTCAGGAAGTCGTATTTTCGAGCCCCGTGTGAATTGGGCAGGGGATCGATCGAAGGGGTATACTACGATGGTCGTAAACAAGCATAATGCCCATTAAATAGTAAACGTTAGTTTAGTTACTTAAAAAACCTTAATAGGATGTATCTTGAAAAACCTATATATAAAATTTCATCTTGTTTAATATTTATCTAAATATATATAACTCAAAGGTGACTGACGTAGTGATCTATCAAGGCACAGCCCAAACCACTGGACAGATCGGGCTGAAATTTGGCATGCAGGTAGATGTTATGACGTAGGCATCCGCTAAGAATTTTGATTAATTCTACCCCCAAGGGGATAAAATAGGGGATGAAAATTTGTATGATACTTTATCAATTTTAAACCGATCGGGCTGAGACTTTTCATGCATAAATCTACTATGACGTTGGGATCCCCTAAGAAAGGATTCCACCCCTAGGGGGATAAATTAACGCGAGCGACGCCGCGGGCAAAAGCTAGTTAAAAATATAGATATAATTGAAAAAGATTTATACATTAAGATTGCTACAGATTATAAAATATGTACGTACAATACAAAGAGTGCAATACTCAGCACTCAAAAATAACGGAATGTTATGGCCACATAGAAAATCCAGGAAAATACATATACAACTCACGACGTCGTGTTATTTTCGTTCATAGCTTTTAAAGTTTAAAAGAATTATTTTATATTACTGTAATCTGTATAGTAGAGTATTTTGTTTATAATAACATCTAGCAGTTACGCTATTTTTTTTTATTGGGTTGTTTGGGCTCTTGTCATGAGTTTGTAGCTCCTGTAGCATTGTCACCTACATAGATCTATTGTGCTCGCCCTTTTTCAGAGTTCGCTACCTAAACCCGTTAGGTACAAGAATTGAAGGATATTCTTAGGAGCGATGGTTTTTATCTCCTCGGGAAAGAGTGTAAACTTTCCAAAGGAGATATTTCGTTTCTGCATGAGTGGGCTATAACCACATAGGATGTGTAGTGGCGTTTTCTTTTCAGTTAAGTTAAGCTAGCTAAAGCTTGTGTTATTGGTACTAGAGAACTGATACGAATATATATTTTTTTCGTAAATACATATACATAGAAAACACCCAGACCGATACAAACAACCATACTAATAAAAATGTTTGCACCGTGCGAGGAATTGAACTTGCGACCATCTGCGGTAGGGCGGTGTGCTTATATTTGGAAAAACACGTAATATATACTTGCACGTATAAAGGGTCCCCTTGTTTCCTTTATTCCGGGATTTGGACTATTTTTAAATGCTATGACCTGTAGCACTGCGACCTGTATAGATCTATTGTGCTCGCCCTTCTTCAGAGTTCGCTACCTAGACCCGTCAGGGACAAGAATTGAAGGATATTCTTAAGAGCGATGGTTCTTATCTCCTCGGGAAAGAGTGTAAACTTTCCAAAGGAGATATTTCGTTTATGCATGACTGGCGTACAACCACGTAGGATGTGTAGTGGCGTTTCCTCTTCTGTTTGGCAAAATCTGCAGATTGATGTTAAGCTAACACTTAATTTCTCTATGTGTTTATTCAGTTTCCAGTGTTCAGTAAGGGCCGAGAAAATAACTAGTTACTAATTAATGAAGATCTTTATGAACCAGGATGACAGTTCCACCTCACCATCTCCCAACAAACTCCACAAGAGTCCATGGGACAAGATGCGTGACATCATCCAAACACATCGGGATTCTGTCAAGAAGAAGTCGAGGGGATCCAAGAGTTCTCCCGACGTGGTCCCCATCAGGAGAAGGTCGTTCAGTGATGGCGGAGACAGCGATGCTCCACCTGCTCTGACTCTCACCATACCATCTTCTGAAGAACTTGGTAATTGGTCTCGTTCTTTTGGTTTTAAATTTTACTAAGTAAATTTTACTTAGCTATTACGCTTGAGTTTGTCCGCAGTCTTTTTTGTTTTTAATTCTGGAATAAAAGTAGCCCAAGTTACTACTTGTAATATTTGCTATCTGCGAGTGAAAGTCCCATCAAAATCTCTCGGTCAGGTTAACTCACTGAACATTTGTGGTCTCACACATGTAAATGGTTTTTTTTTTTTTTTTTTCTCTAATGCTGTTGGCCGTAGCTGAACAGCTTCACCGGACGTTATGGGGCGAGTGCAGATGGCACTCCAAACCCGCGGAAGGACTTATGGAGCGGCTGAAGGCCAATGCCCGTTGTAAATGGTAGCGATAAACAAAATAATACAAATCCATTAACACTTATACTATACTTCAGTAAAATAACATCAAATTCGATAAAAGCTTATCACCTTGTTTAACATTCCAATTAGATATAGAAAAAAGTTAGACATTTGAAGTTTGTATTAATAAGAATACTAGCTGACCCTCTCAACTTCGTCCGCATCACCCTTACTTGACATTTATTATTATATTTAGCTAAATTTACATAATGTCTTTTTAAATTATAGCCTATATGTTATTCTGATGTATAAGCTAAATTACTGTAAAGTTTCATCCAAATCCGTTCAGTAGTTTTTGCGTGAAAAAGTAACAAACATCGATTACCATTCACGAACTTTCGCGTTTATAATATTAGCACAGATAACATAATAATATTAGTAAAGTTATTGCAAATATTATCCAGTTACTTCCATTTAAAGATAGGATTTCATCCTTCAGAATCTGAACCTTCTCATCCAGTGCTCCGGAAGCAGAGATCACTGGAGCTGGGCGCCCGTCCCCCGCAGCACAGGACTCCTCGCGCATCCAAGTGGACCAAAGTGAAGAGAGCGTTTCTAACATCAGCGTCTGCATCCGTCCCGTCAAGTCCGAGTCGCCATTCAGCATTTTTCACTGACGCTGGTAAGTCTATTTGTATTTCGTTTACTGTATATAAATTGCCAATGTTTTTTTAGTACGGGTCAGGTGCACCATTAAGAACTTTGGGATATAAATTAAGGTGCCCAATCACAAGAACACGACGTCTTTTGTCGATTATGAAAAATGAACTAAAAAAAGTTTATTTTCCAAAAAAAAAAGCAATTGGATTACAATAGTACAGTGTTCGGATTACCTAGTAAGCATAACAAAACCTGTATCAGATACTTCCATATTATATTATAAATACTATATTTACGTATTTACATCCTTCTTCTATAATTACGGTAGTCGCATCCAGAGGTCATAATAAAATAAAATAATTTTTAACTTGAACTGTGCGAAGCAGGGGCGCGTTATTAGTTAACAATATTAATTATTTTTATAATTATTCAATTAAAACTGTCTAACTGTGTAACTGTATTGAAATTGGGACATTTTATTTATTTATTGCAGTATCACAAATATATAATGCACATGCATATAGAGTATGGTTAAGTTTTTAGAATTTTTTGGGACGCTCTGAAAGGGTTTGGCAATAGAACACAACATACTACAAAGTTGTTCCTTCTTTCGATGATGATGGAAAGAATCTCAATTTACTACTAACTCAACAATAGGTGCTACCGTCAAATATTTCTCTCTTAAACTCATACTTGTGCATCTGTAACTAACACTAATAATGTAATACATATTGTTTGTTCTGTATTTTGGTGCGTTACTCATAAACTATTTAAGTGGTGCTTTAGTGTCGATAGCTCATATCGCGTCATTGGGAACCTTGGCATGTGTTATTGTCGGTAATCGATACAGTTTATCGATTCGAATGTTCAGTTACGATTGAAATGGTTGAATGATACGTTACGATCAGACTGTTTGTCTGTTGTTATTTATATCATGTACAGACGAAATTAGATTAATCGTATACAATGATAGGCTTATTTTATTTTAAACCAGACCTTACTTCCGTCTTTGTCCGTGTAGAATTAAACTTATTATTTATTAAAATATATAAAATTTATAAAATAATTAGCCTAAGTTACTCCTTATTATATTAGTTATCTGCAAGTGAAAGTTCCGTCAAAATCGGTCCAACCATTTCAGAGATTAGCCGGAATAAACAGACAGACAGACAAAAATAGTAAAAAATATTATTTCGTTGTATGTACCGTATTTATATTCATATGCATGTAGTTAAAAACGGTTATTTCAATATTACAAACTGAGACTCCAATTTTATTTATATGTATATGTATAAAATAAAATTATTCGTGTCAAGACCCGGTTTAATAATATAATAATATTAATAATGTCGTCCAGTTATGAAGTCGGTTATAATTGAACTCTCAACAAGGGCATAATGTTAACATGTTGATCAACACGAGTTGCGCACGAGTGCAAGGATGCATGCTTAGAACGACTATTTTCGTAAGAGTTTCCCTGAAATCTGAAGTCTAAACGGGTTTTGCTTATCCTGGTATATATCTATATGTTATATATCTATATGTTATATAGCTATGTTTCCTTGCTTCCAAGAAATACACTTGTTTTAACAAAGAACGTTATTGTTACGTTCTACTTCATTAAACGCATTTAGAAATGAGCATAACCGTGAATGAATATAATTTGTTAGCCCTGTGGTAGAAAAGGTTTGCTTTCGACGGTTGCGGGTTCGATTCCTCGCACGGTGCAGTTTTGTATTCATGAGATTGTTTATATCGGTCTGACTATTTTCTATGTATATTATGTATGTATTTATAAAAAAACTAGCTAAGTATTGATATCAGTTATCCCATAACACAAGCTTACTGGGACAATTTACACAGTTCAGATGGCGCTGTGTAAATTGTCCAGGGTTTTTATTTTATTGTAATAGTAATTTTAGTTTATTAGTGGATAATAATGGTACGGGACGGGAACCCAATCCATAATCATCTACTGCCTTAACTCGTATAACCGTACTACGTACCGCGTATAACTGAAACAGAATATTTATTTATGGTTTTTTTCATGGATGATAATGAATTGGTTCACCTGCCGGCGCTAATGGTTTACGTTGGCGAGGCACCAGTGGAAGATGATAAGATAAACAGGTCAGGTCAGTTGGCCCATCATGATAAATTCACCAGGAATATGGTTGGTGATTTCCAGGTGGTAACAGCTTATTTATGTTTTTTTTTCATGGATGATAAGGGATTGGTTCACCCGCCTGCGCTAAGGCTTACGCTGGCTAGACACCAGTGGAAGATGATAAGATAAACATAAGGTCAGATCAGCCCATTGTGATAAATTCACCAGGAATTTATCACGATAATTTCCAGGGGGTACCGCGTGATCAACCTGACATGGTACATTGTTAGCAATGGAGTCATCAGTCCACATTCCTAACAATCTCCTTTCCACAATTTAAAGGAATTTACTTTTACCATACCTTATCTGTACTTTTAAATAAACAATCTTGATCATTATGTTATTAAATGACACTATATATTAGGTCAAACATGTATACCAATATTTGAAAACTGGATCAACCTACTTACCGATTTGCGGAATACGCAATACGCAAATAAAAACGAAAAAACTTCAGTAGATTCCCCACTCTACTTATACATTGGCGAGAAGCCAGACGAACAAAAATGAATAATTAAAAAACTAACACCAGTGGGGGCATTAACCTCTGTTATCTTTTTGACACAATTACTACAGGAAAACACGGAGAGTTAGTCACTCTATTCTCCCAAATTTGAATTTCAAAATGAATCCGTACTATTGCATACATTATTTGAATACGAGCTGAGTTTCTTGTCAGTTCTTTTCATCTATAAATCATTCCGAACTGACGGTAGATTTGACACATCACAAGAGTCTGTAATAGACCTACATGAATAAAGATATTTTGAATTTTAATTTGAGTTGCTAACTTTACGTAAAATAACGTCAAACCATAGAATGAATATATAGGATATTGGTGCCATGCAAACTGTTTTAGCCGATCCTTCAGATAGTGCGGATAAGGCAATTTGTTCATCAAATGGAGTAATTAATTTTAGAGTACAATAGGACTGGCATGTACTCTTAGATTTTACAAAAGTCCCTAAATTTTAAAAGATATAAAAAATACTTTCTTGTTTTCACAGGACATGTCCTTTGTAGTATCCTCAAACGTCCTGAATAATTCTTAGAAAGCGTTCTGGATTTTATAAATTTATAACTATATACAATTACTTTTATTATAAATAATTTAATTACTTGAATTTCATTTCTATTTTCACTACATATTAATTTAACTATAGCAACTCTATTACTGTGTCCTGTTTTTAAACTGGACACAGTAATATTATGTTTATTTGAATAAAGATTATTTCTATTTCTATTTTCGTAAAAATAGCTCAAAACTAAAATAGAAGTAATATCATTATTACATAGTATAAAACAAAGTCGCTGTCGCTGTCTGTCCGTCCCTATGTATGCTTAAATCTTTACAACTACACAACGGATTTTTAAGCGGTTTTTTTTAATAGATAGAGTAATTCAAGAGGAAGGTTTATATATATAATATATGTACACCCGTGCGAAGTCGGGGTGGGTAGCTAGCACATCTATATAAACAAATCGGATAATGTCATAAAACAAGAAACAGATGATCCAATTCGCAATAGATGAAAACATAAAATTGGGACACATAATAATAGAAGCGAAAAGTAATACAGTCGGACATAATGTTGATATCTACGAGACAGACAGACAAATAGATATACTGAATATATGAATTGTTTAATTAAAACTTGTAACAATTCTGTGCCAAGGTCTATATAGATAGAATATGTCGTGTATTATAGAATAATAGAAGATAGGTACAACTATTAGTAAACTAAACATATTTGAATAAATACAAGAAGGCGGTCTAATTACTGAAAGCAATTTTGTCAAGGTAACCTTAGGGTAAAGGACACAACTGTAGGAAAGGGTAGCTGACATACAAATAGGTATAAGTAAAGATAATTATATAAATAACAAGGAAAATTATATTAATTAGAATAAAAGTATAAACATTAAATATACATCTGGTAACATTAGTTTTATTTTTGTCTAGACAATTTCGCATTTTAAGAGTAAACCTTTCTTTCCAAGATGCAATCGTTTTAAAAATTCTTTACCGACAGTTAACGTTTACAGACAGTTTTAAATTGAAAATTTCCAGAAGTTTCCCGAAGAATTTGAGACAAATCAATAAATCTTAATACCGTTAATTAAATAAACTATACTGCTTTCTATTGACCAAGAACAGGGTTACACTATTTGTTCATTGCAATAAATATACTACATAATGAACTTTAGATAATGTTCACTCTTTATCTGTCTTAGTCTTATCTTGTTATACCAAACATCCGTCTACATATGTCAATTCTATCTAAAAAGACCTTTATAAATTAGATGCACATATAGTTATTGAGTCTATTGTTCAATGTTTATTTCTCTTGAATATAGTCCTCGTGGCGATTCGCCTACCCCCTATTCACTAAAAACTTTAAGATGTCCTTCGTCCAATGCCTAATGCTTGAGTTGTGGGAATATAATTATTATTTTTGCTTTATATTTATATATCTTTTTTTTACATTTCTCATTTATATTAGTGCCCCGCCAACAATCTTTCTCTGCACCATTCATTGTAAACTGGTAGACAACGCTGCAATGTATTAAGTCCGCCATATGTACACATTGTTTTTGTGCATTAAAGTTAAATAAAAAAAAAAAGTAGAAAAAGCCCCTTCTAGCAGCGGGCCTCTTCTCTGCGGGTTCCCTGTGCGGTATATATAACTCACTACTTCTCTACCCTGGAGGTGCGTAACATCTTTCGGCTAGAGCGGTGGGGTAGGCTCCCCTCGGTCATCACCCCGACTTGGCACTTATCTCGAAACTATTTGGGCCGCCCCTGTCCGTCTATTATTCAACCTAGATCAGGCAAGCTGGAACTACTAATGTTT